ATTATTATTATTGTTATCATTATTATTATTATTATTATTATTATTATTATTATTATTATTATTATTATTATTACTATTATTATTATTATTACTATTATTATTATTATTATTATTATTATTACTATTATTATTATTATTATTATTATTATCATTATTATTATTATTATTATTATTATTATTATTATTATTATTATTACTATTATTATTATTATTATTATTATTATTATTATTATTATTATTATTATTATTACTATTATTATTATTATTACTATTATTATTATTATTAGTATTATTATTATTATTACTATTATATTATTATTATTATATCATTATTATTATTATTATTAATTATTATTATTATTACTATTATTACTATTATTATTATTATTATTATTATTATTATTATTATATTATTATTATTATTATTATTACTATTTATTATTATTATTATTATTATTATTATTATTATTATTATTATTATATTATTATTATTATTAGTATTATTATTATTATTATCATCATTATTATTACTATTATTATGATTATTATTATTATTATTTTATTACTATTATTTATTATTATTATTATTATTATTATCATTATTATTATTACTATTATTATATTATTACTATTATTATTATTATTATTGTTATCATTATTATTATTATTATTATTATTATTATTAATTATTATTATTATTATTATACTATTATTATTAGTAGTAGTATTGCGATTAATATCAATAGTGTCGTTATTATTTTTATTTTTATTTTTATTATTATTTTATTTTATTATTATTGATATTATTATTGTTGTTGTGGTTTTGGTTGTTATTATTAATATTATTAATATCATTATCTTCATTATTATTGTTATTATTCCTATTGTTATTATCATTATTATTATCATCTTTATTATTACTATCATTATTATTATTATTATTATTATTATTATTATTATTATTATTATTATTATTATTATTATCATTATTATTATTATTATTATTATTATTATTATTATTATTATTATTATTATTATTATTATTATTATTATCATTATAACTATTATTATTAATATCATTGTTATTATTATCATTATAACTATTATTATTAATATTATTGTTATTATTATCATTATCATTATTGTTATTACTATTATTATCATTATTATTATTATTATTATCATCATTATTATTATCATTATTATTACTATTATTATTATTATTATTATTACTATTATTATTATTATTATTATTATTATTATTATTATTATTATTATATTATTATTATTATTATTATTACTATTATTATTATTATTATTATCATTATTATTATTACTATTATTATTATTATTATTGTTATCATTATTATTATTATTATTATTATTATTATTATTATTATTATTATTATTATTATTATTATTATTATTATTATTATTACTATTATTATTATTATTACTATTATTATTATTATTATTATTATTATTATTACTATTATTATTATTATTATTATTATATTATTATTATTATTATTATCATTATTATTACTATTATTATTATTATTATTATTATTATTATTATTATTATTATTATTATTATTATTATTATTACTATTATTATTATTATTACTATTATTATTATTATTATTATTATTATTATTATTACTATTATTATTATTATTATTATTATTATTATTATTATTATTATTATTATTATTATTATTATTATTATTATTATTATTATTATTATTATTATTATTATTATTATTATTATTACTATTATTATTATTATTATTATTATTATTATTATTATTATTATTATTATTATTATTATTATTACTATTATTATTATTATTATTACTATTGTTATTATTATCATTATTATTACTATTATTATTATTATTACTATTATTATTATTATTATTATTATTATTATTATTATTATTATCATTATTATTATTACTATTATTACTATTATTATTATTATTATTGTTATCATTATTATTATTATTATTATTATTATTATTATTATTATTATTATTATTACTATTATTATTATTATTATCATCATCATCAACATCACTATCAACAATGTCATTATTCTAATTACTATTATTAATGATATTACCACCATGATTATTATCATTGATATTATCACTCTGATTATTGTTACCATCATTATTAACATTACAATTATACTTTTTCATATCATCATTATTGCTATCATTATTATTATTATCATTATAATTATAGTTATCATTGGTAATATTATTATCATTAGTAGCAGTGTTAGTAATGTAGTAGTAGTAGTAGTATATTATTATCCTTTTTATTACTATTATTATTATTGCTATCATTATCATGAACATAATGATAATAATAATAATAATAATAATAATAATAATAATAATAATAATAATAATAATAATAGTAATAATAATAATAATAATAATAGTAATAATAATAGTAATGATAATAATAATAATAATAATAATAATAATAATAATAATAATAATAATAATAATAATGATAATAATGATAATAATAATAATAATAATAATAATAATTATTATTATTATCATTATTATTATAGTTATAGTAGTAGTAATGATTGAAATAATAGGAATAATAATGATAAAGATGATAATAATAATAAACGTTAATATGATAATGATAATCGTTAAGATAATAATAATGATCATTATGATAATAATAATAATGATAGCAATAATAACAATGATTAATAAGAATAAAATAAACAAAAAATAAAGAGAAAAGCTGATAAGACAAGACAAGACAGGAGAAGAGAAGCAAAGAGAAGGAGAGGAGGAGAAGAAGAGAAGAGAAGAGAAGAGGAATAGAGGAGGAATAAAGGAAGGGAAGAGAAGAAGAGAAGAGACGAGAATAAAGTGAAGAGAAGAGGAAGAGAAGAAACGAGAAGAGAAGTGAAGAGAAGAGGAAATAAAGAAGAGGAAGCGAAGAACAGAGGAGAAGCGAAGAGACGGAGGGAAAAGGGAAGGAGCGAAGCGAAAAGACTCGGGGAAGAGGCGAGGAGGCGAGGAGGCGAGGCGGGGGGGCGCGCCCGGCCCCCGGCGGCGCAGACCCGTGCTCGCAAAGGCCTCTCAGGTGCGGCTACGGGCGGGGTGCTTGTCTTCCCTCCCAGCACGGCTCCCAGTGTCCCCAGGGTTGGAAATCCGGTTAATTAAGTAGCTTGCATCATAGACCGGCGTCCGGCTGAGTCAGGGCGGCGTGTTACTCCAGGATTATCCCGATTTTTTGAGATTTAAAAACCTTGATCGATCACTAGAACTCGGGGGCAACGCTGCTGCTGCTTCCTGCGGTGTCTCGTTTTTTTTCTCTCTCTCTTAATTTTCATCGGGTTATTTGAGGGTTTTCTTTTCTCCATTTTGTGCATCCGTGGTGTTATCATCTACCTCGTTCTAGCAAATAGTGTGTGTGTCGCCTTGTGTGTGATTTTATATGAATTTATTTATTATTTTTTCTCCCCCCAAAACTCCCACAATATCACAAAGGGAAGGAAAGAAAAGGGGAAGGAAAAGGGGTAAAGAAAGGGAAGGAAGGAAGGATCATTATTTTTTTTTAGTGCCAAAGAACATTGATTCATTTCCATTAATATATTTTTTTTTTCACGTATTTTTGGCACTCGATTTCCCCCCCCCTTCCCTTCCCTTTCTTTCTTCCCCCTCTTCCTCCTCCTCTTCTCCCCTTCCTTCTTCTTCTTCCTACTTCTTACCTCATTTATCAGGTTGGGGAAAAAGGAAAGGGGAAGAGAGAAAAAAAGAGAGAACTTTAGTGATGCTGTGACAGTGACAGTCATGAGGGAAAGGCCATGTGCATGAGGGGGGGGGGCTTTGCATGGGAAGGATATGAGGGGGGGGGGGTGAGGAAGGGTCATAGGGTTGGCCATGCATGAGGAAGTGAAATAGGGAAGTGTGAGGGTGCATGAGGAAGTGTGAGGGTATGTGGTAGACTGGGCCATGTTGGGAGGGAAAGAGGGATAGACTGGGCCATGTATGAGGAAGAATGAGGGTTGTATAAGGATGTGAGATAGACTTGGCTAGGCATGAGGAGGTGTAGTGGGGAAAAAATGAGGGTGTAGGCAAGTTCATGAGTGGGTGAGTGGTTTATGAGGATGCATGATGGACTTGGCCATGTATGAGGAAGCTCTATAGATGTTGACATGTATGAGGGAATATAATAGCTGTGGCCATGTGTGAGGGTGCATGAAATGAGGCCATTTATGAGGGAAAAAAAGAGGTGTGGCTGTAAATGGGACGAGGTTAAAAGAGATATTCGAAGGCTTTTCCGAAACTATGTTGTTGAAATTGTCAGGAAGGGAAATTTAGGATGAAAAGTTCCTTATCTTTAGCTTAATTTAGCTGAGTAAAAATAACGTTTGATTAAAATGCCACAAGCTCATAAAATGCTATCGGTTTCATAGGCTTTCGATGTTTTTTTTGTTTTTTCACGAATATCAGATATGCTCTGCAATGGGGGAGAAAAAATTAGTTTCAGAAATTGCGGAGATACAGAAAGATAGGGTAATGGTTGCAATGAACAAAGAAACATCACTGTTAGGTTATAAGAATGAGTGCTGAAAGTGCAGTGCAAGACCACAATTGCTTATCAAAATCTGTGCATTTAATCTTGCAAATAGACAGCTTTAATCTTGCGAATCGCTTATCAAAAGACAGATTTTTGCAATTGCACATCCTCGGCTCTTTGTGCTCCAACAAAGCAGACAAACCTCCATTCTGTATATTCCTAGCAAATGGAGCTTTTTGTCCCCCGTGATACCTTATAGTTTAAAAAGGAACCGGTCCAAGCTCTACTCGTCAAATATAAGTGCGGCAGATTTATTGGTCTTTGCCAGAGTGTCAAGCGCAGAGGCACGACCTGAAACCACTATAAAGGAAAGGAAAGAAAAAAAAAATCAGTCACTCAATATTAGAAATTAACATAGGGTGTCGGTGCGTTTGAAGATGTGGTATGATTTTAGTTCCGAACGTCCTTGTAGTACGAGGCAAAAAGTCTATGGAGCCAGGACATTGAGGAATTCTTTTAGCAAACTTGAAGTAAAGTTTTGAAAATTTTATAAAATAGCGAGAAGACCGTCTAAGGTGTGACCCATCTTCTGTCACCACGATTGTGACTTTCGGGCGCATGGATTTTTTCAAATCTTCGTTGCAAATTAGTATCGAATAAGGAACGGTCCCAGCTCTTCTGGGTAGAGATTTGTTGGCCTTTGCTAGAGCAGCAGTCACTTGACCACTTCTTTATGAAATTTGTCTATGTTGTCACTTTTTATTTGATATTTTAACACTGTTATAGGAGAAACTTTTGGAATTTGCTGATCTGTCAGTTTCATGTACCTTTGTTGCATGAATATTCAAAGAAAATTTATCAATAAAGTCATGTTTATCCTTAAATTGTACCTTATATCTCAAGCCGACAGAG